CATATGTATATTTGTGCACATGTGCCTGGAAGGTATGAGTGAAATACTTTGAGAATAAACACCTAGAATCACCAATCATCCCAGCTGTCTAATGAAAGCAAGCAGGTAACTATATCAAGCAATTATGATATAAGAAGGTGTTGGAAACTGACAATCATTTTAATAAGGACAAGGCATCATTTCATACTGCATAGCAGAAGGGTATAATAAGCTTCTATATTTTATCAGGAAAACCACATGGATCAAGAAAACTATATTGAAGCTTGATTCAAAGAAACAGCTAGCACAAGTATTAAAAGGAAATGGAATTAAAATGAAAGATTGGGCTGAGAAATAAGATCAGCATGCTAAGATCAGATGCAAGCAGGTTAGAATAGAACAAAGAAAATAGCATGAAAAGACCAAGAAGACCAAAGAATACCCGATCAAGAAATATCACATGGAAACACGGAAGATTAAGGAAACACTGGAAATAATAAAGCAGCAAGTAACATCTGTATAGCCAAGGTCAGCAGATAGGAAAATCAAATTGCACTCTATAGTCAGAATCTCCAATTTCAATTGAATCAGAAACGTTTCTATCAATCCATTAATGGAGAGATTGCAATGAACCACCCAACACTTGACAGCAAAGAAACAGTGCAATTCTGGGCACAGATATGAGACAACCCAAATAAATACTTCAAGAATGCAGCTTGGCTAAAGGAGGTGAAGAAGAAAAAAAAAAGAAGCTGAAATGAAAGAACTTGTAATAACAGGAGAAATGGTATGGGGGGGGGAAGGGCAAGGAAGGTTACAGTAGGTGACCTTGAACTGCATGGTTTTTGGTTAAAACATTTGACTGGTCTGCACTCACTCATCATTAGATCTACAGTTAGAATAGTGGACTGGACTCAAACTGATTTAGATGTGGACTGGACTCAAACTGTATCAGAAAACCAGAAAAATAATAATGATGAATCATGCCCTGCATTCATGCAGTGACGCTGACAGACTCTATTTACCAAGGAGCATAAGTGGTCATGGAAATTTGCAAGTACACCGGACAGTTAAAGAACAAAAAAGGGCATTGGAAAAATATCTGAAGGACAGTGAAGAAGATGCATTGAAACAACTATACCATGAAGGCTAACTGAATACCAGAGACCAAAATGATCTATAAGAAAGAGCAGATGAAGAATGCAACAGAGATTGGGTAAAGCAAAACATTACACGGCCAGTACACAAAATAACTGCAGGCAAAGCAGATAACAGCAGGACCTGGCAATGACTAAGAGTAGGTAAATTGAAGAAATATTGAGGGGCTAATTCTGGCTGCACGAGACCAAGTCTTATGAACAAATGCATGCAAAGTCAAAACAGACAGCAAATGCCATCTCTACAAAGAAAGTGAAGAAACAGTGGACCGCCCATTTAGCTGCCACAAGATCACACAGACTACAAATAGATTACAAATAACGGCACAATAAAATAGCAACAATGGTATATTGGAATATCTGTAAGAAATGCCACTTGTCTGCAAGCAAAAACTGGTGGGAACCATAAAGTAGACAAAATAATAAAAAAAGGTAAAAGCTAAACTATTCTGGGACTTTAAAATTCAACAGAGAAGCACCTGATCCATAGCACCCTAGACTTAACCACTGTTGATAATAAAGACAAAAATAGTGAACACTGCAATATCTGGAGACAGCAGAGTATAGGAGAAAAAGCTGAAGAAAATCACAAAATACAAATACTCCCAAATAGAAGTATAAGAACTTGGCAAAAGGAAGCAAAGGTAGTATCAATAATAATAGGTGCCTTGGTGCTATTTCAAATTATCTGCAGCACCACTTGAGCACGATAGCCACTGACAAAATCATCAGTGTCAATTGCAAAAGACGGCTTTACTTGGTATAGCTCACAGGTCGGCAACCTGCGGCTCCGGAGCCGCATGCGGCTCTTTGAGCCTTCCCCTGTGGCTCCCAGCCTCCTCTGCCTTTGCAGAGAGAGACAGAGACAGAGAGAGGCAATTGTGCTTCCCTGCTTCTCTGTGTGTGTGTGTGTGTGTGTTTTTGTGTGTGTGTGTATGTGTGTATGTGTAAAAGAGAGTGCACTCACAGTATTCTCCGAGGAGCTGAAAAGCTTACTGGGCGGAACTCCTCCCTTTGCTGCATCTCTGCAGGAAGCAGGAAGGGCAGGAGAGAGCTAGCTAGCCCAGCTAGGCTGACTCAGGAATTCTGGGAGTTGAAGTCCATGAGTCATAAAAGAGAGAGGTTGCTTATTGGACAACAGCTTGAAGCTTGCCAGGTGAGCAGCAGATAGGAGGGGGGGGGAGAAAGAGAGAGAGAGAAAGAGAGAGAGAGGGAGGGGAGAGAGAGAGAGGAAAGAGAGAGAGAGAGAAAGAAAGAGAGCGGGGGAAGAGGAGTGGCAGACCAAGGGCAGATAGAGAGGGAGGGACAGAGAGACAGAGAGACCCTTTTGACATCTAAAATGAAGATAACACTGCATATATCCTTTTTTTACGTGTGTGTGTGTGTGTGTGTATACACATACATATATACATATACATATACATATATACACACACACACATACATACACACACACACACCTATAATAAAGGTAAAAAAGGATATATGCAGTGTTATCTTCATTTTAGATATCAAAAGGGTTTTGCGGCTCCCAGTGTTTTGTTTTTGGTGGGAAACGGGTCCAAGTGGCTCTTTAAGTGTTTTGGGTTGCCTACCCCTGGTATAGCTTATATCCTGTTAAAATATCTTAAATATTATTAAACATCTGTCTATCCCAGGTCCTTGGGAAGGACTCGATAGGTTGAAAAAAAAAGTGCCAAATCCAGTCTCTCCATCTGGCCAAATGTGCAACAGATCAAAATAATTTTTGCTATCAAAACAGCAAAAAAATGCTAATAAAATCTCATATTTGCTTTATATAGATATCTGAAGCTTTATGGAAAATCAGAAAAAATCCAGTCATTAACAAATGGTTTAAGAATTTTTAGCATATATATAGCAATTAAATTTGATTTAGAGTGGCTACTACTACAGTAGCAGTGCATTTACTGCTACAGCTACAATAGCAATAAATCAAAGTAAAATTGTGAATAGTAATGGAATTGAAATGCTGAATGGTTAATCAGGATTCATCAGGATTAAACCTACAAGTATCAGGGCATTTTATAGTTAAATATCAAGCATGGGCAAGTTAAAAATGTAATTAGCAAAGAATATATTTGGTGCTCAAGAGGAAGCTATTTGAACCAATGTAATCAAGGCTAGAATTGAAAAACCATGCAGTTTGTGCAAAGAACCAGAAGAAACAGTAAATCATATATTCAACTTGTGAAAGAAAATCACACAAACCGATTATAAACAGCCTCATAATATGTCAAAATTATTCACTGGAACATCTGCAAAATTATCAAAAGCCAATTACAGAAAATTGGTGGGAACATATAGTTGAAAAAGTAGTAAAAAATAAGCAGGTTAAAATGGTGTGTGATTTCCAAATAAAAAACTGATAAAGTCTTGGCACATTACAGCCAGATTTAACTGTGGTTGAAAAGACAAAAGTGTGGATAATTGATGTGGCAATATCAAGAGGATAATAGAATAGCAGAACTGGAAGAATTCATACAGTATTAAGATCTGAAAATCAAAGTTAAAAGATTATGGCATAAACTGGTCGTAGTGGTTGCAGGGGTCATTGGCAAACTGGGTGCCATACCAAAACATCATGGAGAGAACTGAGAAAATCTATGCATTGACAAAATTTCCATCTGTCAATTGCAAAAGGCCATACTGCTTGGATCTGCACATATACTATATTGATATATTACAAAATTTTAGGGTCTGTAAATGCCACCACCAGTTAAAGAACTGACAGCTGTGATTTCACATTGTTGTGTATATAATAATAGTATAGTATATAATAATAGTAATAATATAAATTTTGACCAAACTGTCTTTAATATGACAGTTACTTAAGTTTTGCTCTAACTACTGATGCACAAAAGAGGATATTGACTACTTGTATGGTTAAGTGGTTAAGTTCAAGCTGAAATCAACAGAACATGCAAGCAAGAAGATTGGAATGCCAGTGTTGGAAATAATAAGAAAATATTGTTGAACTATAAGGATTAGGAATAAAAAATAAGTAGGGGACCAATTTATCTGTTTCTGTCAATCCAATTTTTTTTTAACATTGCTAATATATTTTTCAGACAACCAAAATGATATTTATAAAAACAAGTAACACCAGTTGGAACACACACACAAAATCAAATTAATTATATTAGTGGTACAAGGTTGTGGAACAGCTCAATTATAATAGCAAAGATGTAGCCAATGGTTTATTGTTTCAAAAGACTCATGGGCAAGTTCCAAATCAAGCTAAAGCAGACATGTCAAACACAAGGCCCGGGGGCCGGATGCGGCCCGCAAAGTGGTTTCATGTGGCCCGTAAAGCCATCCTGGAAACAGTGAGGGAACGGCCCCCGCTGCCTTGGCCCTGGCCCAGGCTGGCCGGGAGCCAATGTACAATTTTGTGGTGGCCATCTATGCTGAAACGCATTCAGTCTTAGCTCCACAAGGCTGTCTAGAAACAGCGAGGAACCAGCCCCTGCCGCGTCGGCCCTGCCCCCTGGGTGCATGCTGGGGAGGTGTCACCCTTTGTGAGGAATGAATGGACCATGCTTTGGCGCTTGTCCCGGTCCCACCCTCTTCTGCCACAGACTCTCAGATCTGTCCCACTCCTGCCCAGGCCCCCACAGGCACCTTTGACACGAACGATGTAGAGCTGGCCATGCCCACCCAGTAGGCCACACCTACTCCATCCACACCCACCCAGTAGGCCGCACCCACCCTGGCCACACCCCCCCCCGAGGGCAACCACAATGCTGATGCGGCCCTCAATGAAATTGAGTTTGACACCCCTGAGCTAAAGGAAAAGAACAAAAACAACCAGTTTCCATAATATTATCTTAAGCATATACCTACCAGTTTCAAGCAGAACATCAGGAATCACTATTAAGTCCTCAACCTCATTGATACAGAACCAGAAGCTGTGGAACAAAATCAAAGATCTGTTAAGGATTAATGTGAAAAGAGACTGCTAAACATCAAGAAACAGAAAAAAGCAAACTGGATGCCAGAATAGATGGTGATAATTGCTAAGAAATAAAGAGAAGCCAAAATTAAGAAGCACAAACAAAAATCTCAGGACAAAACTTAAAAACTTTAAGAGAACTGTTAAAAGGTACAAGGAGCTGAATCATAACATTTGTAAAGAGATGAAAATAGGACAGGTTACTGAAAAATAAGACAGGTTTTTCAAAAGATCTTCATATTCAAAAGAAATTTCCAGTCATGAAATGGTATTCTAAAGAATGCCAATGGACATATAATAATCGATTTAAAGATCACACAGAGATAGAAGGAACATAGATGTTGATATACCCATTGTACAGAATTTTACTAAGATACCTTATTTCTGCAGTAGAAGAAACTATGTACATGTACCTCAGGGATGAATTGCAGAATCCTTGCTGTTGTCTGAGCTTAGTTGTTTGCTTGCAGACTTTTCTGAGCTTGGCTGTTTGTTTGCAGACTTTTCATTATCCAATTAAGTAACATCATCTGAATATGGGGTTTACCCTGCCAGTGTTTTGGGGGTGTGTGGTTTTCTCCTTGGTAATTCCTTGATTAGGTATGGGCATGGACAAAGAAATTAAATGTTTTGTTTAGGCCAGTAAATTTCAAACATGGCAACTCCAGCAGGCTAGCTGGGGAATTTTAGAAGTTGAAGTCCAGACTCATCAAGTTTGAAAAACACTGATGTAGGCCCTTGAGTCTAGCCAACTATGGATTCAGACTGACTAGTAGGAAAAAATGTCTGTTATTCTGCAGCCACATATTGTGCACTGTATGGCCCACGAAGATCAGTGGGTATTAGTTTTGAATAGGCTACCTAGGAATGCACAATATAGTCCTTTGTTTTATTCATCAAGAGATCCAGAACAATGACAGGCTTACTCAAATCCCAGGCATGTTTTCGCAGGACGTAGGTAACCAAATTTATTCTATCAAACAATTACTTAATATAATTATTTAATGGGGATTTGTACAAAAAAAAATTGAACTATTAGATAGGCTAGGTTTACATGTTAAATTACGGTTTGATAAGATAAGATAGCCTTTATTGTCACTTTTTTCTGTGAACACTGGCACACATTAAAAAATGAAATTCTGATGCCCGCTCTCAAAAGTAATATATATATCCATACCCATACAAGCACATACATATACTATGTACAGACACACACACACACATATATATACACACATATCTACATATACATACACACACACATTTATAATATATAGCTATAGTTTATACTTCTGGGCATCCTGTGATTCTAAGTTGAGTCCTTCTTTGTGCAGTATCAACAGATGCCTCTCGTTCTCCGATAGACATAGCTGCAAATTCTGTGCCAATTCAAGTGTTGGACAGAAGTACAAACTTTGCACTCGATAAAAGCCACATTCTGCAAGATTGGGCCGATCCCACCCAAAGCTCTGCCGGCCTATCAAAACCCCGCACCTTGGGTTATGGGGATTTCGCAGCTCCGCCCAGTTTCACCACCAGCCGAAACCAAAGCGCGATCCACCCCCTTCGTTTGCTCCACAAGCTGAAAATGGCAGCCTTTACAGGGGCGCTCCGAAGGTTATTGAAACCCTCGGTAAGTGCGACCCCCCCGCTTGCTGCACAGACCCCGAAACATGACCTGTCCTGACCCCCGGGCTTTGCTTCGCTTCGGCAGGGCGGCTGCAGTCTTCAGGCTTCTCCGTTACAGCGTTAAGGCCCACGGCGCTTCTCTCCCAGGCTTCTTTTCTGAGTCCGGCGCGCTCTGTGCGCGAGAGTTAGCCGAAAAACCTTGCAGGGTCTCTTAATCGTTTGCTTAGGGGCGAGGACGAGGTTCCTTTGTTGACGCCCCCCGCTCCCTCTCTTGAACCTTTGACTGCTTTTTTGCAAAATGGACCGCTCACCGCAGTCTTCCCTAGATTTTCCTTTTACCCAATATATATGTTTAAATAAGAGTCGAGTGTCTCCCCCCCTCCCCCCGCCGCCCCTTTACTCATCCAGATCTTGGCAAGTCCTCCATGCAGCCGCTATACGTGGATCTTTGGGAAATAAAAAACAAAACGATCTCGATCTTCGCATGCTTTGCAGAGGTCTTTCCCGATCATCTGAGGCTGCTTTCTGGTCCGCTGCCTGCATCTTTCCCTAGCATTTTACCCTTTGATCCCCGCTGCCCATCTTTCTCTGATACTGAGCCATGCCCTCTTTTCCTAGGGTGGTTGGACCGGTGCCACCTTATGGAGAGCAAGCGCGGTGGCCGGAAGGTGTTTATCGGCAACTACAAGTGGGCGGAAGTGTACGGCCGACGCGAAGACGTCTGTGCCTCGGTTTCATTTCAGTACTAGTAAGTTGCCCGGGCTGATAGTGAATGAAATTGTTTATCATTAGCAATTGTCTCCAAACTATTCACGGATGAACATTAAAACCTCGCTTAAAAACTCTTCTCCCTGTGCTTACTGAGCAAGGGTTCCCTCCCCCCCGTGCATATTATTGTCCATAGAGGACTCATTTAGTCTGCAATCATTTCCATTTGCAGTGACCTAAAAGCAGAGGAAACACTGGATTATCCTGTGCAGATGGGTGGGTGGACACAAATGCTGTTGTCCCACCCGGAAAGACCAAAACCAGTGAGTTTAAATTATAAGGAAAAAGATTTAGGCTAAATACCAAGAAGAGTTTCTTGGCCAATGGAATAGGCTGCCACATGTGAACTGCCTTCAGATAGACTGGATTAGTCATCCGTCAGATGCTCTAGTCCAGAGGTCCCCAACCCCCGGTCCGTGGACCAGTACCGGGCTGCAGCATGCTAGCAATCGGTCTGCACAAACAAGCAAAGCCCCATCCTTGGGATGCAGGCAGCACACAAAACCACACACCCTCCGGTCTGCAGAAAAACCTCTCTCCACGATCCCTGGTGCCCAAAAGGTTGGGGAACTCTGCTCTAGTCTAGCAATTTTTTCAAACTTGGCAGCATGCTATCTTGGGATTCTGGAACATGCAATCCACACACATCTTAAGGCTACCTAGTTAAAAAAAAAAAAAAAACTCTTCTAGTAGATTCTGCACACCAGAGATTGGACTAAATGACCTGAAAGATCCCTTCAGCTCAATGATTCTATTACTTTGCAGTTTGCGTGGAATATATTCAAAAGTTGACAAAATGCTATAAATTGTATTACGGTTTCTTTTATTTTTTTTCAGATCTACTTTTCTATTACGTCAATTAAACATAGCCTTAGAAGATGTGGGATTCAGCATTATAAGTTATGACATGGTATTTTAAAATTATTTCAGATGGATAAAATTAAATGAAATATCAGGGAGTAAGGACTGTACAGAGATACACAAAATATATACAACAGTGCTGCTAAATGTTTCTAAAAGTTTGTAAACAGAACTCTGGTGTATGGATATATCCGAATATTCAAATTTATTTGGCAATAAGTATGGTCCCTTTTGTAAAGAGGAATCTGCATAATTTGATTTTAAAATGAAGTTAAAATTTCAGCTATGGGTGAACTTTTTTGTCAGGTTTGTTGAGCTACCTTGAAAACAAGAATGCTTTCATTCTTTTTACGTTAAGATTCAGGGCTACAAACTGCATATTTATATGAATCCTGGCCTTGGGTTGGAGCAATGCTGGTTTCAAGAAAAATAAACACCCTGAACATCAACCTTCACTAATTGACTATCTGACAAATATGCTGGGTTTCTTTCCCCTTTAGAATGGCTGATGCATCTAAAGATCTTTTCCCAATAATAGTTCCTTTAGTGATTGAAATTATTGTGATATCCACACAGAGGAGATGATACTGGCACACAGTATATTCAGTCATAACATGAACTAGATTATAAGCATAGATTATAAACTATAATGGATGATTCACATCGTTCTGAAGTCTCAACCTTTGGGGGAATTGTGAGAACGTATAATAGCACGCTTACAAAATGGCTGTCTTAGGTAGGTGTAACCGGTCATAAAATGCCATTTTTAAAAAGAAAATACACTTTTAAGATACTCATTCCTTTTTTATTTTCTAAAAATCCTGGGTACATCTGCTGAGATGTTTGTTTTTTTCTTTTTATGAATTCGCATGTTAGAGTTTTGCTTGTTTGTAATCCAAACACAGTATCTGCATTATATCACATGACTACTTAATGATTACTAGGTGCTACGAGGTTTATTCCTGCTGTCACTCAGCGTGCTCCATATTTTAAGGGGACAGCTGTGGTGGATGGAGATTTCAGGGAAGTCAGTTTAGATGACTTTAAAGGAAAATACCTGGTTCTTTTCTTCTACCCCTTGGATTTGTAAGTATTGTCTTATGTTGTATCTCTTAAATAGACTTGGACTTCATGTTTTGGGCAGATAATCTTGTTTGTTAATTCAACCTCACTTGCATTCTGGTTATCATGTATACTGTAATGGTGGCCTTTGTGTACAAGTTCAGTGATAAGAAATGGGCCAAAGACATTCTTATGAATGCCTTTCCAGATTAAGGAGGATATGTGTTGCTGATACTATTATTATCATCTCAAATTAATTCACAATAACTTGAAGTCATTTTGACTGTGATGGATTATAACCTACTACATTGCATGTTGTTCAGTGTTGTCAACTGCCCAGTCTAGGGAGAAAGTGACTGACCCAGTCACCTAGTGGACTAAAAACTGAATCTGTCCATTTCTACTCCAGCCTCCTAGCTCCTCCTCCTTCCTCTTACATTGGATCTCATAGTCAGAGATAGAAGAAAAATGATTTGGAATATTAATTACTTATTTGTCTAGACAAAGTGGTACATCCATTGTGTATGAAGCAAACAAGTAAATTATATAGTTTAGGCAAAAGGTTATTGGATTAAACAAATATATGCACTTAATTCTCCAGTAACTTTTTTTGCAGATGTGAAAAATTTATTGTCTCAATTTTAATGTCTCAGATGCCATAATGTGGACAGTGCAGATTAGAAATTAGTGTAGAGTATAACCTGCTTTGAGCATGAATTATAGGGTTGTATAATGATCCAAATTGAAAGGGCAAATGTGATTCCAAGTACTGTACATATAGTATCTGAAGATTCCTTAAACCAAAGGCATCCTTTCCCAGAATCTTACAGTAGCTATGCAATTCCAGGAAAAGATGAAATTGTTGACAGGTCCTATTTATAGACTCAGAGGTACTCCAGATCACATTTTGCCTTTGTACAGTAATAGTATCTGGATATCTGCATATAGAGCTCCTAAAGTATTGTATTAACAATACTGCATAAAGAGTCTAGTAAAATATTTATAAAACACCTGTCTGGCGTATTTGATGTGGTATAATTGCTAAAACTGTACAAATTATGGAAATTTATGATCCCCAAATCTTATGTTCCTTATTGTATGGTCTATATCGTATGTTAATTATGATGCTGAAGTCTGTCCCTAAAAAAAATTGTAATGAAACAGAGGATGGAGCATTTGTAGATTTCAGCAGCTTTATATGGAATACAGACTGCAGCATATCTTTGGATCTTCTTGGCAATTATGAATGATAAGGGCAAATGAAAATAGTGATCAGATAAATGATAGAAATTGGGGATCCAATTTTGAAGCAACATTTTTGGCATCTTTTCTAGACGACATGCCATCATTCTTCTGAACTTTGTCCTTTTAATTTATGTTCCAAGGAATTATTTGGATAAGCAGGATGCCCCAAATGGATAAATATTTATTTTGCTCATACTTTGTACAACACAGTGATATAAGGATTTTTTGAGGCCTGTTCCATTCTGTTTCATTTTCTGTCTGTATTTTTTCCCCACTAGCACTTTTGTATGCCCAACAGAAATTATTGCTTTTAGTGACAAAGCAAATGAATTCCATGATGTGAATTGTGAAGTTGTTGCTGTATCAGTGGACTCTCACTTCTGTCATCTGGCCTGGATAAATACACCACGAAAGGTAGAAAATTAAGTTTCTTTTCATTTATTCTTGCATTATATTTAATTATCTCTATTTATACAGTGCCACAGACACTAGCTACTTCGATTGTAGAATTAATGGGGTATTGAATGTAGAAGAAAATTGTTTTTACTTATTTGGATATTTACTAAAATCTTAAAATCTGTTTAAAATCCAGATTCATCTTACATTATTACTAATTACATTAATATTAGTCTGGTATATAAATATCTTAGTTTCTTAAAGGGCACTGTTTTAATAAGATTTTTTTAAAATGTAAACAGAAAAGAAACTTGTTCATTTCTCAACTGTGAATATTTATACTTTTCCTAATAGATAGGCATTTCACTTTCACTTA